TATAAACTCTATGGGGTGAAAAGACCCTGTTAAATACTAATCAAAAAGGCTTATCATTCGTATAGCTGTATGTGGGATTAATATCCTTTGTCTAGATACCCATCAAATACAGAGTATTCAGTCCGAGGGAATAAAATAAAATAAAAAATTAACGGGCTGATCATCAACGCTTATGGTATTAGGTATAAAAAACAGGTAGATTATAGTTCAATACCTCATAGTGTATAGACAGAATATGCAGGAGGAAAAGAAAAGATAAAGCAATTAATGCGTGCTAATGTGCAGGACCATACTTAGAGTGTTGGTCCTTGCACATGTGACAGTGTGCCCTGTGAAGTGAGGAAGAAAGAAGAAAACCCGACGCGCGTTTCGGTGCCACTAGCGTGCACCTTCGTCAGGGGCTGAAAGTTTAATGATGACTGGGTCACTGTTTATATGCATCCCATATCATTCCAAAGGGTTCACATACTTTTTCTTGCAACTGTATAGGATAGTTTTTTTCCAAAGTAAGATTCATCTAGTATGCCTCATTGATCAAAGGGTAATGATGAAATGGTAAGATTAATAGAGTTCAGACAATTTCTGATATTTATAAGTGAGACATTGTAAGATTAATAGAGATCAGACAATTTCTGATATTTATAAGTGAGGCAATTCTAATCTACTAAATTACTGTATAATATTTGTATTGGTAAATTGAAAGCATTTTGCAGACCCAGAAGAGGATAAATAAATAATATAATAATTAAAAAAGGGGCCAAATTATGGTAAGAGGTCCCCCAATTAACTAGCTAACTGGCTAAACTCATTTTTGATAAGCATATACAATGTTGTTTTTTGTGGTTGGACTTTTGATACTCAATTTGAACTATGTCCCAACCACATCCTTGCAGGTACAGGAAACAGCTGCAATATGCTTTCCAACATTTGCAAAGTCTTCGTGTTTTCAATATATTATGACAATGGAAAAGTACCTAACCACATGTCTGCACTACACCCATGACCCAGACTGTCAGTATTGCAAACCCTATAATTTATAGTAATATATTGATACTTTTTGAGTAATTCTGAATTAGATGGTTCATGTTTTTAATATTTTATATATAGTTTTGGGTGTTAATCCAAGAGTATTGAATTATTTGGGATTATTAAAGTAATTAATTGGGATTATCAAATCAAGGTTTAGGAACAGAATTTTATTGGGAATTTTCTCCATATGTATAGGTTGGTGTTTTAGTAATCATCCTGTCCAACAAGCATTTATATAGAGTGAGTGCTTCTCTCATCCGTACAAAGACATTCCAAAGGAAAATTATGTAAAATTTCATAAAGGACAAACTTCATGAATTATAAGCAAAGCTGAGAGAAGTACATGTTACACAAGTTAAGGGTTTAACTTTAGTCTCTAATTTAAATTTTAGCCTAGGTAATTGATTAATTGATGTCGTATTGATCCTTGTGTTTGTATGATTATAGAGACTGTCCTGGAGTGTTTGTGCTGTCTGATTTTTGGGACTACACACCAATCCCTCTGGCTGACCCTGCAC